GTACGATTCGTGCCGCTTGCCTACATTTGCACATTTTACACTCGCGAAAAGCGCGAGAGGTTATTGCACGAATTTGTCCGGCTCTGCGATAGCGTCGCGACGCCATACGACACGTACATAACCTTGGTATCATGTCACCTGGAAATGTCTCGGGTGAAAAATGATTTTGATGTATCTTCTGGAAAAAGCAGTTATTTATTTTCTTTATGATTTCGCATCCTCCCCGCACCTCCCCTTACTCTTTTCCTCTCTCTCCTTTGCATAAACCCACCCCTGGCTGCCTCGTACATTAGGCGATTTTCATGAAACGATAGAACGACCGTGCGCGATCCCTTATCTCGAGTCTTTTGGTCGAAGAAGGTTGAGGAGGAGAAGGTCGCGTAGAACAAGGGAGTGAGTGGAGGTGGGGAAGAGTCAGGAGGGGGTGGTTGGTATCGATTGCCATGATATCGTCGCGAAGTTAGTTACAGCTAGCAGAGACGGCTGGCCAGGGGGTTGACTAGACTCACGCACGCTGTACTTTCCAGGGGTGCCTTTTCATCCACCTTCGCCAGGCACCTTAAACCACCTTCGAGCAGCTCCCGACCCCCCGCCGGGGGGCAGTGATGGATCGAGCCGGGTTATCACCAGCTTCGCTACACCCTGCGGCCCTTGCTAGCACTGCGCCCCCACGGAGCACTCCCAAGGAGGTTGGTATTATCGGGCGCAAAGTTAAGAGGGCACTTACCTGCGGACAGCTGCTAAATAGAGGCGTTCCTGTTCCAGGACCGGTGAGTTTGTTGCAGCCAAGTCGCCATGGCCGCTCGCATAATTAATTTATATCGCGACCTGACTAATTCATAAGAGTTCTGCTACCCCTTAGGACGGATTTTTCTTTTACTTTAGAAATATTGTCCGAGCCTTCTGACCCTGGTGTCTCGACGCCTTTGCAAATGAATATGCAAGGTGGAATAAGGTATCGAGTATCGGGAGCCATTGCCGAGAGTCAAGCAACCGTGGAACACGAGGCTTGTGTTTTTGCTTTATTTAAAACAAGACAATTTGTTTGTCCGCTCGATAGGCCGGGTGGCGTCAGCGGGTGGGATTCTTCACATATCCTATGTTATAACGTATATCTATACTATATGCAAAACATTTATATATATAAATGCATATACATTAGGATGGTCAGCTACGTAGAATGTGGAACCGAGTTTGGCTTCGAGTTCTCGGTATGCACCGTTCATCGTTACAAAACATAAATCCATAACTAATACGAACAAATTAAAATTTAATTTCGCAACTTACGTCGCGGCGCCGAAGCTACCAGGTGGCGAGGGAGCGTTCGGCACGGTACACTCGCGGTACACTCGGTTGATTAATTGAATTTTAATTGAATCCTGCCGGAAATATTAATTGAACAGCCATTGAAATTTAGCTGCTTACAGCCCCCTTCCCCTTCCTCCCTTCGTCCCACCTACATTCGCTCTAACTTTGACTTATCGAAAATACCCGGTTCGTTTGGTAAATTTGTACTTTCGAAAATGCTTGATATCAAATTCTTCAAGTCGTATATGTATATCTGTATTGTATATCCCGTAGAGATGTCAGGATGAAAATTATTGACGAATACCGGTTCGCTCGAAGCAATTTTTTAAAAACAATCCCTCCTCATAAAATTCCTTCATTAAACATCAAAGGCTACCCATAAAATTGGTGATTTCGAGAAGGGCCAACGGCGTGCCGCTCTGCCCCTACGATATATCCCATCGTGGCTCATCGGATCCCATCGCCATCCCATGGTGGGTCCCATGGCGTTGTATGTGTCGAACCCCCGTGGCGCCTCGGCACCATCTCGCACGGTTATTCCTTCGTAGTCTGCCGTCAGATCGAGCCTTGATTAAAATCCGCGAGCCTCCGATATAATACCTACCAACCACCGAATCCTTGCCCACCCTTATACATGCCATGGCGTTATTCAACACGCATCTAAACTCAGTGGATCTCACGCGGAATCAGTAATCATCAATTTAGACTTCGGGAATAAGAAATATAATTTTTCTACCTGGTTAATGAAATATCGACATTTTTTTTCAGATTCTTCATTCCAATCAAATTTTATTGATACGGCTTATTCTCACAGTGCTACCAAGATGGATGTTATTTTGTGATTTTACGTGAAGAAAAATTTTTCAAATTTTTAATATATTCAATATACGCAATTTATTAATAACGGAGAACCATCGTATATATACTATGGCTCCCATGGTGGTAAGATGAAGCTCCGATGGGTGCAAGGTGGGTTCAATTAGGTACGAGTCAAAGAGTTATTTATGGGCTGTTAAACGCGAGCTTTGGACCCCCTGCGAATATGGATCTTTTTATATCTACATAGTATAGATGGGAGATACCACCTTGGCTCTGTGCGTGCGTGCGTAGGTGTGTGCGTGTGTCCACCTTTTTTTTTATTCTATTTAAATCTGACGTTATATTACACCTGGACCAAAGCTGGATAGAAAATCTTTTCATCGTACTTTGGATTTTCAAGAGTAAATCTTCCTGCACGGATGCTGGATGGATTCTGCATGGGATTTCAAGCTATTCGAATGACACCGGCAGATTGTTCCTGTCATTCCGCATCTCCTGCTTGTGTCTCTCCTCGTGATTTGCCGAGATAACATTGCCGACAGCTAACACAATTTCGTTGAGGGTGTCTCCCCTTCTCTCTTTTCAACCCTGGCAGCCATCTCGCTCCCTCAGCCTGGAAATCGTTTAGTAAAACGCTGCCTGAGCGTACGAGCCTTTCCTTCTCGATTCTATAGCTAAGATTCGTTCTTCGACTTGAAACGATAATTGAATTTTAATTTTGTAATTTCTCGGCCGGAACTCAATGTTGCGTTAATCTGAGCGTATTGGATCTGTCCCGTACAGAAGTCTGCCTTATTGCGGCAGTTTCAATTTGTACTGTTGATTTGTATCCGCGAATTAAATCTACCGTGTTCCTTTCTGCTACCACGTTAACAATCGCCGTACGGAAATTCTTGTCTGCATTTACCCAAGAGGTATCGAACAATTCCTTAAGCCTGTTTCATATTTGTCTATCTCTAATAAGAGATTCTCAATTGTTACATGTCTCTACGGAGACTAAAGACTGTCATTGAATAGAATTTCTACAGTAGTTAATAATAGCAGCACCCTCTGCCTGAGTTTATCAACGTGGTACCTATTGCCTATATATACGTTAGATATAGGTATACAAACTAATGTCAAACGAACCACGTCGGCATTTACTCCCGGTGTACGTAATGCTTGAATTCGAGTAATTCGGATCGAACAATCGTCTTTTAACGAACCACGTATTTGCATCGCGACGTCGCGCGTCGTTGCGAACTTCTGTAAAATCCCAGAACGCATATTTACCTGTAGTTCCGCCACTCTTGAATTTTCTCACTCTCTTTCGGATATCTGTCATTTTACTTTTTCCATAAATCCCCATTTTATCGTACTCTCAAGGAATATCCTCTCTCACGTATTTCTCTCTCTGACGATTTTTTCGACTTTTTAAATTAATTTTTTCCTTTTCTTTTTTAGGTTCATCGACTTGCCAGATCAAGAGACAGAGGCACGGAAACATCGTCTGGAAACTTTAAGTCTGTTTACTTAACCAATCACGATGAATGAAAATCAGCGGCGCACCGCGGACTACGTGGACGAGGATGAGGACTCCCTCAAGGATGGAGACCTTGTTCCTTGGGATCGTCCGGGAGAACGTCATCAGGCGAACCTTGTAATTTTGATCATTTGACCGCTTACAATTCACCGGGCGAGCGGACTTTACCGCAGGAGTTATTGCACGGTCGCGGGGAGTTGGCTGTGAGACCTTACGAGATCCAATGTTGCCAAGTAATGCTTAAATTAATGCGATCTTGTACGACAGCTGTCAAATTTGATAAGTGTACTTCAATTACGCCAGTCCACGGTTAGCACGCACTTTTGTTTTTACATGTGCTTATTCACGTCATAATACTCGAATGATTTACCGGTAAAGTATCATATTTTACATGCTCACGTTTCATATGAGAATTGAAGTTATTCGTCACTGACAAATTCGAGCATCGGTTAACGTTGCATTCAGGCGTAACGCAATCTGTCTGCACTATCGCAACGCATCGAGTGTAGCGTCGAAAGAAATCGTTCCTACCAGCTTGAACTTCGACCCCGTTCATATTCCAAACGGGTCCCGTACAGATTGCCAATTCCAAGGCCGCCGAGACTTTTCTCATAAGAATCCACTCGGACTACTGGATTCTCAGTATCTCTATGAGAATTCTCGTAAGCGATGTCTGAGGCAAAGTTGACCGGGCGAAGAAAAGGAGTAATACAAAGGGCGGGACGAGGGCAGAGATGAGTAGGTTGTAGGTACCGACTCGCTTTGAAGGAACTATCGTAGTAGATAATTCAGCGCGTATCTCGGTAGCCGTTGGCGTCCCTGCAGCACGTTGCGTCGGCCATCACAAAGACAAACCTCTGATGTGGTACCGGAACGTTTCGCTCCACACACAGTCGTATGGGGACGTGAATAACACAGGCACATAAACGGATAAGGCCAAGCAGAGAGAGGGAGACAGATGAAAGAGAGAAAGAGAGACGCCAGCTATACAACAAGACACGAGATTGCTGCTGACGGGCTGCGAGAGGTTGGCGCCATCGCGTGATTACCAATTTGGAATTGCTCGCTCGCGGGAGTAGCGAAGGACGCGGACGGATTATCAGCTGCCGAAGTGGAAGATGAGAAAAGGAGGAGCAGGAGGAGGAAGAAGAAGAGGAAGAAGAAGAAAGAGAAGAAACCATAAGGCTTGATCTTGGCGCCGAAGTCAATGCAGCGATGACCAATTGGATCGATGAGCTTGGAGCGATGGAGAACGAATGTCATCCGTTCTACGGTGTGGATGAGGCTTAAGGAATTTATAAACGCGAAACCAATAACGTCGATTCCGATAGCGCATTCCGTGTGTTCTCGAACGATTCATCATACAGTGTATGTAGAGACGTACACGTATGCCGGTTGTAAATACTTGAGTATCCGTGGGCACTGGCGAGTAGAGCCGTGTGGCAAGACACTGATTGAATTGAAGTAATATCAGGAGCAGTGAGTAATGGTCGTTGAGGATTCAAATGTGGCCCTGTCAGTGATTTGTGTGTGTGTACGGATCAGATAGTGTGTAGTCATGCCAGGTGATTATATCGCATTATATGAGAAGTCTGCTACTGTGTACTCAGCCCTCACGGAACGGGCTCAGCTTCTTCTCTGCTTGACGATGAGGAACTATTGTCCACTAGCTTTGCCAACTGTTCCTGAGATTCTCTACCAATCTGCCTGTCTTCCATTCTCCTACCTGCTTGCCTCCGTCTCTCTTGGGCTTCATTCCCATTCGTATTTCTTATCGAGCTCTCGAGATCCTCTTGCAAATCTTCCAACACTTCACTCGGACATCTTTTATTCATTTTTAATGACGTGCAGGAATATTATTATAGAGAACCAATTGATTCTAATAGGATTTTATTAAGCTTTTATTCAATAAACTCAGGTAGCGCGTGGTCGATCGATTCGCAAACGAAATACTTCCACTAGTCATTCTACTTGATAATTATTTAGACTATGACGATATGCGTTTTTGTATTTAATGAATATTATCTTTGTTCTACAGATTCCTAATTCTCCGGAGAATATATATATTGACGTAAAACCTGCAGTTATACCAAGTTCAAGTGGACACTGGATCTCCTTGAGTATCGTGTCAATAAGATCCCTGCCGGACGTATAGGATCTGCCCGGGTGGTCCAGAAGTCCCAGGCACATAGGGCCCAAGAGAGGAGCCACCAGCCGTAGAAGCAAGCGCCCCTTTATCTGCCTGACGCGTAAGACAATGTGGCCCTCCGCATCTGATTGATACGCGATACTATCCACCTATCATAACACCATGCCACCAGCTATACCCAGTGCTCAGATTAAATGTATACAAAAAATACTAAGCATCGAATCCGGCTATGAAGGGAGAAATAAAATATGTTAATTCTTCAAGTTTAACGATTCTTTTCAAGTAAGTTCTTTATTTTCTTTAATCGATATATATCCGATCGTACGAGTCTTATTTAATCAGATTATTCCACAGGTCATTGAATCCATCTACGATAAGGAACACCCGGTAGATCAACCGAGTCGGTACTCACCGTCAACCGGTCCAATGATATCTCTGATGTCTCGGCGATGATTTATTCGACGTAAGATGGCTGACTTGGGTTACCCATGAGCCAGGGCGTAAGTACTCTAAACAGAAGCTATTGTGAACGTCCGCACGAGATGGACATACCCCACGCAAGCCTGGATCTCGAATGGCGAAGCGGTGAAGTGGCTGTCCGTGCAAGAGCATACGAGACTCTGCGTTTGATTATCAGTCCCGGATTAGTGGTTACTTATTGTAACCTTTGACATGCGAGCACTCGGATAAAATGTCTGAACGATCAACGATAAGATTTTGAACATAACTCATCGGTCTTAAGTCTTCCGTCTCCTAAGTTCCTCGTAGACAAATGTAGATATTTGCTGCTCCTATCCAGAGTCAGATCGTATCCCAAGAACGATCATAGTCAATTGATCTGGAGTCTAAGGCATTCTTAAGATAAATACTTTACTCTCTACAGAATTCATGTGACCTATAGTGTACGATGATGTTTATTTATATCAATAGCTTTATTATGCATATGACGAGAACCACCAGATAATTGAAGAAGACCCATGCAGGAAGAGGAATCAGTGAGTCGTTCCGGAAGTCGCAGTATGGCCGTGGATACGCCCCAAACAATACAGAATAATTAACCATTGGCAGACCTCAAATTTCTATCGTGCAGACATCTGAGCGGGTATGGATAATGATATGTGTGTATTTACCATGGCGAAGTCTCGGGTCATCCGTGATTACATGGTATCGGTATCGTACAATGCGAAGGGATTCCCAGTGGTTCCCTTAACCACCTCCGCGAGCGTCGAGACGTCCAGCATCCGTCCGGCCACGAAGGGTGTGTCCCGGTATGGATGAATGGTTGGCTATCTTATTGAGCTATCAATGCTCTGACTTAACCCTTTGCCTTGGCCAACACAATCCCCCTGGCGAACCTTTGATCTTTACCGACACCGCGCCGGTAACTATATGTTGCATTATGACTTCACTGCACTTATTATTGCTCGCTACACTACTGTTACTCGCAGTGGTTCTCAGATCGATGCCAATTCTATAAATTTTTTTGTAATTGCAATTTCCACCAGATACAAAGTTGCCTCTAGAAGCCCTAAGCGTGAAGAAACCACCAAAGACCATCAACTGCTCTCCCAATGCTCACCAGCCCTCGTAAACCATCACCGTGTACCACCGCAAGAGCAATCGAGAAGAAGAACCGACAGAGTGAAAATGGAGGAGAGTCGCAAAAGGCGAAGCCATAAACAGAACCAATAAAATATTATATACGCGTAAAGGGCTCACGGACAAACGGGCATATAGTGTGGCCCGTCCAAGAGCGGGAGGGGCGAAAAGGGCGTGAGGGTGAGAGGGTATAATAACAGCTGCAACGTATAATTGCCTGAACGATTGAATTTCTATATTACCGCGAAGTAAGAGCCGTAAGACGTATGGCCCTTGAAAATCGTTTCTACGCGCTGCGACTGTTAGCCCTCGTTGCAACAAGATGACTGCGACTCGTTTATAAGTATCTCGATAGAGATTTAGTAGGTGGTACCAGGTCCGTTGAATTAGTTGGGATCGTTCAGCGCTGTTGTTTTGGACCAAGTTGCCATCGAAATACGAATGAACGCGATGCGCGCCATAACGTCACGGTGGATTCGAGCCAAACGTTACGAGACGGCCGGCAATGAGTTACCGGGCGGAGACTATAACTCGCCCAGTGATATACGACTGTATCTCGGTACCATTTGGCAGACGTAGATATATTATACGCATTCCGCCTCGACGTGAATTTATTTATTCTATAATTATCGCGTACAATTGGTAATGCGTTCCGTGCGCGTCAGAGGGTTACCGCTCACTCGGTGCCCATTTTCGGAAGCTACGAAAACCCGAAAGCTCTTCTCTCATATATATACATCCTTTTTCCCATCTCCGTTCATTTCATATACAAGCGGCCCCCCGTCTACCCTCCCTTTTGTATCACGAGAAAGCACGAAAAGCTGCCTACGTCAATATCCGGCACTCGAAGATCAGGTCCGGTTACGTCGAGGGTATTATTTGCAATGCTTTTCAGGGCATTAATATTACCAGTATTACGCCATTAGCACGTCTGAGTTACGGTACGTACAGTCAAGGCACGCTTCTCTCGTCTTGTACGAGCCTGGACCGACCTTCGAAACCTTCATGCAAATAGATATGTAAGCTTACAGTGTAATCCTGCATCCTTCAAGAGGACCGCTGTCCAGAGGACGAAGAAGCTTATTCCACAAGAGCAAGGTGAAAGGTGCAGCTAGGTTGATCTTGGTAGCACTGGAACATTCGAGGCTAGCCCTAAGGCTACGTAACCAAGTGCCTGGCAGAAGGGTTACGGAAGGCTGAAGAACCAGGAGAAGTGAGGTTTGAAGGAGTAATGGCATGGGGGGTATGACCAATCAATTACTAGTAGTGCAGCGGCCCCACACACAGCACCAATATTACCGGGACCATTACCTTTCGCCTGCTACACCTTCCCGGCCATAGAGGCCGGATGCTCGCTTACAAATTCTCCCCTTGAGATGAACAGGTAATTCACGTTACATTAGGCCTCACCGAAAAAAATCAGTGGTATCATGATATTTCTGTAGAGTGTCAATCGGTACCAGTTTGCTAATGGAATTATACCGAGACTTTTTATTCATTTCAGATCTACCGTACAGTAGCTATTCTGATTGATGTAGATTCGAGTAATTTACTTGTGGGTTCGATCAGTGTAGTTCTATTTTGTATGATCTTACAGCTACGTTTTATTCTTGCAGGTGAAGCATCCAGGCTGGATTTTGCAAGGATGTTTTGTAAATGCTTAACCGGGGATCGCCAACGTCGTTTCGCCCCAGGCACGTCCGATGCGTCCCAGGCTGCAACGGGAACGGCGAACCGAAGCTATCGAACGGAACACGAAGACGCTGGCTCCGAGAAGATATTTTAATTATCGTCCGCACGATCTTTCTTGCTTTATGGTCCAATTACTAAATCCGCCCGCGACACGGCTCCACGCTCTTTGAAAATTACGCCCCTGTTCTCTTCTCTGGTCCGAAGACTCTTCCCATTCGTGTGGGCATGGATCACGCGGGGGTTGGAGATGATGTTTGTATTTGGTACGCTTTATGTTTTCTTAAGTTTCTCGTAGAAGAGAAGGAAGCGAACGACGACAGAATGTTTGTTTAGGGTAATGCAATTGTTTAAAAAGAAGTGTAACGTACGTATAAGCTTGACGCAGCGTCATTCAGATTCAGCGAGTGAGAAGCTTGCGGCACTGATTCTCCGACTGCTTGATCTATTTTGGCCATTTTTCATACAGCGTAATAGCGCCGATAAATCAAATTAAACATGATGTTAGTGTGGAGAGCGCGTGCGCCTCGCACGGTCCAGGGCCCTCTAAATCATTGGTAGGCATAACGCATTGGGAGGATCAAAGGAGCGCGAGCACTCGCGGCCGTCTTCCTTTTTATTTCTATCATTACCGGCTATAATTACACTTAAGCTCAGTCTATTTACCTTCTCAAAATTGTACCTCTAATCGAAAGCGTCCGCAATTTTCACTGTTTTCAATAATCATTTTTCAGAATTGATTCCACAGTGTATCGTGGTTTTGTTTCTGGGCTCCCGCTATGTCCGTCTCTCTCTCACTCCCGTAACTCCCTATAGCCCCGTCTCTCTCGCTCCCACAGACAGCATACAAAACTTCCAATACCCGAAAACAATATCGACCGATGACACTCAGCCAGTAGAAAAATCTTGTATCATAGAAAATTCTTATAATTACGAATTCCGAAAACACATGTCGCGTAATATATTCCAGTAAAAAGAAATCTGAATTTACGAATCGTTCCGCGAGTCGCCTAAGTAAAGGAAATGGTTGTCCGGTCCAAGTCGTAATGCACGCATCGCAAAGCTCCAGCGTTCTGGAGGTTACTCTGATTTATAAGACAGTCTCCTACACGGGCTATGAAGTAGAATGCCGAACAACATCATCCACGGAGATGCTCCTCCTCGTGGTACCCTGAGAGATCGCTTCGGTTCTCGGAACCGTCTTTGAGACTCGGGACACCCGGGAGCACGCGCGTCCGCGTTGCGTATGCGCCATTACGCGTGAATCGCAAGATACGTGTGTCTCTTGGACGGTATGTTGGATAGTGCGTGCGTGCATAGATGTATATGCATGTACTGATGCGTGCGTGCGTGCGTGCGTGCGTGCATTGCTATGCGTTGAGACGAAAGGGGTCCATACCAACAAAGTACGGCAGCACCTGCTTCGCAGTTCATCATCCTGGGTGTCACCCACGCTACTTTACTGCACTACGAACCGTGTTATGCATCCGTGAGACACTACTCATGAGGATCTATGGCGAGATTTTAAAAGCGATCGAGATTTCCGGCAAATCGACCCCAGGAGATTCCATGGTCTAGGCAAATTTGTAACGTCCTTGGATTCGGGTAGCTTATCTTGATTCTTGGCTTCGTCTCGCATCATCTGTCTATCTGTGCTTCTATCTTGGGTACGAAGCGATGCTTCGGGGGACCACGGGCGTTATTAATTGATCCGCCAGTAATTATATGTAATCAGTGGCGTGGCTGCCGGTGGCTGCTGGCCGGATCGCGCATAGCAAGTATGGCTTAGCCTCGTGGACCTGCTAACTCGTGATAAATTGCCAACCGACGACTAACTACGGGATGTACGGTACATCACTGATGTCTAAGAAGAACCTTTTGGGGGATCGCCGCTACAGAGTCTGTGTAATATTAGCGAATCGCATAAGTTATCGGTTGTAAAAACTTTTATCTTGATATCCGGTACGTCCTTGGAGGATCGTTAACTGCTGGATCAATAAATGCTCAATAGAAATTGCTATGAGAAATCGGTAACCAAATTTCGAGACGCTGGGATAGGACTGTCAGGCGTTATGAATGGCACACGCCATCTCCCGTGTCGTTACTATGTTTCATTATAATTAAGTGTACTCTCCGTTCATAAATCATGCTTATACTCCCTCGAGAAAATGCATAAACAATAACACGAATATAGACCGTTTGTCATCTTTGATTGGAATCATTTTAACTGTCAAGAAGGAATATTTAGGGTCGACCTTCGCGTACCTCCTTGCGCTATGCCGCCCTTGATTTTTCTCTATTAAACAAAGAACGGCATCCATCAGGATTCCCGATAGAAATCAAAGATCCTCCGCCTTATCGAATGCCTCATTGTCGTAACAGTGAACGCTATGAATCAGTAACTAGCCTGTCGGATAAGCGAATCCAAAGTCGTCGGGACGTCGTAGGGCCACTTACTAGCGCATAAATCAGAGTTATTACGAAGCTATTAGCGTTCCGGAGTAACACTGGGACGTGTCCTTCGTGCCGTGGCTTATGCGACTCCCTGGTTCAGCAATAGGCAATAATTAATCATTTTGTGAGGCACACACGGCCGCACGCACACACGCACCGTAGCGCTCGCGCACCAGGAGTGTTATGTCAAGCACGTAGCCTATACTTAACCGACATAGAATATTCATATGGCTTGGGCGCGATAAGAGTACTGTGTACTTACGGCACTGATTGTGCCATTAGGAATACGGACAACCCGGGCTTTCCTTATGCATCTGGGTCGAATACGTGTAATCAAGGTGGACCGTCTGCTGGAGGTACGGGCCACCCCCCCCCCCCCCC